CCATAACCGTGATATCATCAAGATGGCATTCCGCACTCATGACAGCAATTTTGAGTTCTTAGTAATGCCATCCGGGTTGACGAATACTCCATCTACCTTCCAAGCAGCGATGAACTCAATATTTGCCCCTTTCTTACGCAAGTTTGTCACAGTTTTCTTTGATGACATATTACTATACAGCAAGAGTATGGAGGAACATTTGGGAGACTTACGTTAAGTACTATCTTGTTTGCTACAACATAAGTTTTACCTAAAATTGACAAAATGTGTGTTTTGTTAGGAATCTACTGAATATTTGGGCATATTATCGTAAGAGATATTGTGCGTGTGGATCCCAACAAGGTGGCAGCAGTGGTTTCATGGCCAATTCCAAAGACGGTTAGACAACTTCAGGGTTTTCTAGGATTGGAAGGATATTATAGGCGTTTTATCAAAGGATATGCAACAATAGTGGCTCCCCTTACAGTTTTGCTGCGAAGGGAACAGTTTTCGTGGACGGAGATGGCCACTAAAGCCTTTCAGAATCTCAAAGAGATGCTTACCACGACACCTGTCTTGAGGTTGCCAAAGTTCACAGAGGTTTTTGTTATGGAAACCGATGCATCTAATGTGGGAGTTGGGGCAGTTCTGATGCAGCAAGAGCAACCTGTATCATATTTCAGCAAGAAAATCAGACTGAAACTGCAACTTGCTTCCACTTATATTAAAGAACTCTACTCCATCACTAAAGCTATGTGTAAGTGGTGACAATATCTCTTGGGAAACTCCATTATCCGAACGGATCACAAGAGCCATAAAGAGCTGTTCCATCAGAGAGTACTCACTCTTGAGCAATATAAGTATGTTAGTAAACTCTTAGGTTTTGAGTTTCAGATTGAATACAAACTTGGGGTCAATAACACCGCTGTTGATGGCCTTTCTCGTGTCCATGAACACGCGGAATACCTGATGATAGCTAACTGCCTAGTCCCGGAATTTCTTACAGTGCTCAGTACAGAGAACTCCCGACTACCCGATCTCAAGCGTCTGCATGAACAATTGAATGTTGGAGAACTCTCATCAGATTACGCATGCAACAACGGGATCCTCTTTTACAAATTGAGATATTACTTGAGCCCTCACTCATCGTTGATTAATGATATGCTTCATGAGTTTCACTCCTCCCCGATGTCTGGTCACTGTGGCATTAAACGTACGATGGTTAAGTTGTCCGCCTCCTTCTATTGGCCAAACATGCGCCGAACAGTGGAAGATTACGTAGCGTCATGTTTGGTGTGTCAGCAAACGAAATACCTTACCAAGGCCCCTGCGGGACTGATATAACCTCTTCCAATTTTAGACCAAGTGTGGAACGAGATCACAATGGATTTTATTGTCGGGTTTCCACCATCCCATGGATATTCTGCCATTATCGTTGTAGTTGATCGCCTCACCAAATTCGCTCATTTTGGAGCTCTTCCTGCCAAGTTTAATGCCATTGGTTGATATGGTTGTCAAATTGCATGGATTTCCGAGTGTACTCATCTCAGATCGGGACCCTCTCTTCCTCAGCCACTTTTGGGGTAAACTGTTCGAACTTAGTGGGTCGAAGCGGAAACACAGTACTGCATATCATCCTTAAACCGACGGCCGGTCAGAAGTGGTAAACAGAGGTTTAGAGCAATATCTTCGTGCTTTTATTATGGAGAAACCGTCTGCATAGGTTGACTTTTTGAGTTGGGCCAAATTTTGTTACAACACCAGTTACAGTGAGAGCATTAAGATGACACCATTTCATGCATTGTACATACGTACTCCTTCTATACTTCCATGCTACACCCCGAACTCTACTGATATTGAGGGCCTTGATACCTTGCTAACAGCCATAGATGAAACCCTCCAATTTTTGAAGGAATCTTTACGACAGGCCCAACACGGATGGTGCAAAAGGATAACAAACATCGTCGTGAGGTTGAGTTTCAAGAGGGTGATCTTGTTCTTCTCAAACTCCAACCATTTCGTCAAAATTCTGTGGGTCTACGACGTTCCCATAAATTATCCAAACGTTATTACGGTCCTTTCAAGGTCTTGAAACGAATTGGTTCCGTTTCATACAAGCTGGAGTTGCCCCCAGGATCACGCATCCATCCGGTTTTCCATGTGTCATTACTCCGCTCTTTCCAAGGCACCGAGCTGCAAGCTTCCCCTACACTGCCGGCAGAATTACTAGAAAGTCCAATCAATCCTCCCCTCACAGTTTGTGGCTTCCGGCAACTTCTGCGCAATGGGCGTCTTTAAAAACAAGTCCTAGTTCATTGGCCCGACAGTTCCCAGGATGACACTTCATGGATTGGTGCACACCGCCTAGCTGAACTATTCCCTGATCTGCACCTTGAGGACAAGGTGTTTTCCGAAGCGGAGGAGAGAGAGATACGGCAGTTACCAGGACTACCCATGATGCCCACCTTTCCCCTCACACACCTCCAAACCACCTCAGACAGTCCACTCTCCAGAAGAAACTCCCCACTCATTTGAATGATTATGTCTTGGATTAAGTAGTATAGTAGCAGTACGGTATTACTAAATTGTAACTGAAGCTAGTTGTATTTAACTCCCAGGGGTAGTGAACCCAAGGGGATATGCTGAAAACAGTTGCTATTGCTTCTTCTTATCTCTCAACTGCTTTTCTCTGTTCCTAGAGTTTACCCTTGACTCTAACAAGGCCTGTTTGATACTTCCGTAGTATCAGAGGCCCTTCTTCTTCGATCTCCCTTCTTCGTTGTTCCACAGTCGCACATCAACTACCATGATCTTTAGTTTCTTCTTGTTCGTTCTTTTTGTCCCTTTGCTTCTTTTTAGACTTGCTTTGATTTCAACCCTCATCTACTCTGATTTCAGATCCATGTTGTATTAACAATATCAAAACAAATCGCAGAGATAGATTTGAGGAAAATACTATCAGGAACCTGCAGGTGGATCTTGATTTAAAGTTTTAACTTCTACCTGGTATTTTACTTGCTGTTTTTGTGATTAAACATATCCTTCTTCAATTCCTTAAATTCTTGCCTAATACGTAGTGCCTATTCGAACATCATTTTTCCTATTATAATATTGTGTAAAATTGTGGCTGCTCAATAAAAAAATGACAATTATCATCAATGACATGACAATTGTGGCTGCTCAATCAAATATCAAAAAATAATACATCTGATCTATAACATGACAATTATCATCAATGACATCATTATTATAATATATCCCATCAAAACTATTTTTCAAAATATAACCAATTTACATGATCAAAAAAAAAAAAAAATATAACCAATTTACCTTATTTAATTATTACCTAACTAATTGTGTTATTTTATAATGAGAACCTTAAGACGGGATGGAAATCTCAATGCACATTTTAAAATTATTCTCTTATTTTTATCTTGATTTGCTTGTAATTTTATTACTTAAATTATAATTTTATTTTGAAAAAAATTATATCAATTAAACTGTTAACTGTTATGTTTTTAATACACTAATATTTTTTTGGATATCTTAGAAGGTAGAATACTCATTAATTCTTATTACAAAAGAATATAAAATGCAGTTAATCTTTAAAATTAATTTTTTTTCTTTTATGGGTCTTCATTCTTTAATAATAATAATTGTTTGCATTAAAATTAGATAAATTAAATTTGATTCTCACATATTATAAATCGCCCTGCATCGCATGAATTTGAAATATACTTCGTAATATATACGATAGTATAAAATATTGTATGAAGTCAACTAATCTCATACTTCAGAGGTTTATGTCATATCAAGACAAGCATACATGTGCATAAAACTATATGTTTTCAATTAAAGGCATGATCATTGGGTTCCTTTTTTTCTTTATACGAAGTATATATAATTAGATTTAAATCATCACGCACTTTGTTAGTAATATACGGTTCGTGAATAATACAATAATACGTACGTTCGTGTATAATACGATACAATTATATAAAATACGGCTTAATATATGTTTCATACGTTCGTGAAATATATAAAGATACGGACGCGTTTTAAATGTTTCACAATTTAAAAATACGGCATATAATATGTGTCTTATATACTAATTTAATGATAGAAATAAAAAGTTATTTAGCATTTGAACCACATTCTTCAACAATTTAAAATGTACGGAATAATTTTTTCATATATACGGATTTGAACACATAAGTACAATAAGTAATAAAAATGGCATTGCCTATTTGAGTAGAAGTAGAGAGATATTATTAGAGAATAGTTGATATTACAGTGACCATGAGTTTGGTGAGCCGCCACAACATTTTTCAATCTCTTTGGAGTCTTGGTATGGGTGGAGAACAAAAGTAATACATTAGTAGTACAATAGTAGTATTGAAAAGGATTACGAATTTAAGAAGCTAATTTATTAAATGTAATGACTATGAAACAATTAACGAACATATAAGGCATAAATTTTTTAAGCAATATAAATAATATTGAGCAGCTAAACATTTTGTTTCAGTTGTATCACTACATTAGGCTTCCGTTTAATGGTGTGTGTTTTTGAATAAAATATGTATCAATACATACAGTACGTGTATTATACATTTTATGCTTAAAGTACGTGTGGTTTCCAGAATTTTCTGAAAAATTCATAAACGAGAGTATTATACGGGAATAAAATACGTATCAATACGTACGGTACGTGTATTATACATTTTATCCTTAAAGTACGCGAATTTTTCCGAATTTTTTTGAAAACTTCATAAACGGGAGTATTATACGTGAATTATACGTTTGAGTGTATTATACGCGAATTATACGTGAATAAACTAACAGAGATCACGCATTCATAAATATATAAATTTATGTCTTAATTTGAAGTAAAATTCTAATTTATTTTCAATTATTTTTCTAGCACATATTTATATTTATATTCCATGAATACTTTTATGGACGATAATAGTAATAGTGCATTGTAATAATAATAATAATAGCTTATAATATTGACTCGATACCCTGAAATCTTTGGAAGCTACGGAATAATATCCATCTGCACGTGTCATATTGTCAAAGTAGAGAATTGGAGCTGATGAAGCTAAGGCACCAAGAGCAATGTGAGGATACTTCAATCGAAACCAAGCCGCAAGCACTTCAAACAAATTCAAAATCAATCAATCAACATATTCTTTAATATACGGACTATTCCCTAATTAACTATTCGAGAATATCTTTGTGAATATAATGTCTATTATTTATTTACTTTTATAACAAAGCTAAGATAATCATGATACAAGTTAAAAAATATATATCTATTACAATTTTTAAAATTATTAGTTTAGTAGGATGTATATTCAATATTCTTACCATTTAATATTCCTTTATTTGAACTACAATAATAAACTATCATTTCTTGATGCATCGAAAAGGAAACAATAATAAAATTTCATAGTATCGAATGAACATGGCAACATAGTTTTAATTAATCCCGTGATTTCTCTAATCAATGGAGGAGCACATGCACCAGAGCACATCTTAGAGTTCTTTAGCCGGATGATCAATAAAAATACATGGCATGAGAGTATTAGACCCATCAAGGCAATAACCTACTACGTATATAGTAGTACGTCGTCGATGATAATGTATTTTTACTTATTACTCTCGATCTCTCTATAACAATGAATTGAAGTTTGTAACACTAACTTAATATAAAGGTGGGTACTGAAGTGAATCATTACTAGCTATCAATCTATCATATGTTTATTAGGTAGTATTATTACAATTAAGAGACAATGATGTTGGGTTTTTCTTTGTTTTTGACCCATGAGGAAAGCCCAAGTATTGAGCCCATTAAAAGTCTTCTTTGACTTTCTTTTTTGGGAGCTAATAATAAAATATGGGTTAGTTACTATCTCAACACATGAGGACAGAAAGAGAGCAGCAGATGCTCATCCCGTTTTTCAGCAGGCAGCAGCAGAAAAATTCCGTTTCCCGGAGATTGAACTGTTGGATCGTCGTGATTTTTGGACAGCAGCTTCACAGCATCTGGGCCAACATTCTGGACGGTGGAGATCGAGTTTGGAGGTCCGGAGGTCGGGTTTCGTTGGTCTGGACAGTAGCTATTTTTCTGGTGATATTTTTCTTATCTTGGCTCTATTTGATTCCATACACCTTGATGTGCTTACTTCCAAGGATATGATGATTTTGTATGCCTCTAGTATTATCTAGAGAAGACTTTGTACTGCTCCTTTGATGATGATAGTGGATTTAAGAGGCCAAAATGGTCCCGTGGTTTTTCCCTAGTTAACGGGTTTTCCACGCTAAAATTCCGGTGTTTGTGTGTGGTGTGTGCTTACTGTTTTAGTTGATTATATTGGTGTGTGGCAGCAATATTGTGTGTGTTCTAATTGCATTAAGAACACCCTATTTGTTTGCATCCTCAAAGGTTCATTCAAGTTGGGGAAATTTTAGCCAAACGGAGATTAATTCCGCATTTTATTAGTTACCGTTTGGGGCTGTTTTTCCCATCAAATTGGTATCAGAGCCGAGTTCTTCTGTATCGAGTTAGACTTGTTTGAATGATGGAAGCAAACACAAGTAGGATGATCAATTTGAATGGTTCTAATTATCATGTTTGGAAAGGCAAAATGGAAGACCTACTTTATGTGAAGGATTATTATTTGCCTGTGTTTACTACTGATAAACCTGAAAGTAAAACAGATGCAGAGTGGAATATTTTGCATAGACAGGTTTGTGGGTATATTCGCCAATGGGTTGATGATAATGTTTTGAACCATATTAGCGGGGAAACTCATGCTCGCAGTTTGTGGAACAAGCTTGAACAGTTGTATGCTCGAAAGACCGGGAACAATAAATTGTTCTTAATAAAATAGATGATGAGCTTGAAATACCATGATGGAACTCCTATCACTGATCATTTGAATTCTTTTCAGGGAATCATAAATCAACTTGCAGGAATGGGTATCAAGTTTGAAGATGAGATACAAGGCTTGTGGCTCCTTGGCACTTTACCGGACTCATGGGAGACTTTTAGGACATCATTGTCCAACTCTGCACCAGATGGTATTATCACCATGGAATTAGCCAAAGGCAGTGTTTTAAATGAAGAGATGAGAAGAAAGTCACAAGGTTCCTCTTCACATTCTGATGTCTTAGTTACAGAAAGCAGGGGGAGAAGTCAGAGTAGAGGTCCAGGTAACAAAGGAAAGCATCGAAGTAAATCCAAAGGAAAGTTTGCTGATTTTGAGTGCTATCATTGTGGTAGAAAAGGCCACACAATACGGTTCTGCAGGCAATTGAAAAAGGAGAAGAAGAAGAGCGATTACAACAATCAAAAGAACCATAAGAAAGATGAGGGTGGTAATGGCAATGTTGAAGTTAACACTACTACCGATGAGTTCCTTATTTGTTCTGATCTTGATATGGTCAACATTACACATGATGATTCCAGTTGGGTTGTTGATAGTGGTGTTACGTGTCATGTAACATCACAGAGGGATTTTTATTCATCTTACACTCCAGGTAACTTTGGTAATGTTAGGATGGGTAATAATGGACTATCAAAGATTGCAGGCATCGGAGAAATTTGTTTGAAGTTTGACACTGGGATAGAGTTGGTTTTACATAATGTAAAACATGTTCCAGATATGAGACTTAATTTGATCTCCGCAGGCTTACTTGATGATGATGGTTACAGCAACAACTTTGGTAATGGAATATGGGAACTCACTCGTGGTTCTTTGATCGTGGCTAGAGGTAAAAGATGCTCAAAGTTGTACATGACACATCCGAAGATCTTCAAGGATAGGGTCAACGCTGTGGTGAATACTGACATGACTGATTTATGGCATAAGAGACTTGGTCACATGAGTGAAAAGGGGATGTCTCTTTTGTTGAAGAGAAATGTGTTACCGGGTGTGCATGATATTCATTTAAAGAAGTGTTCGCACTGTTTGGCAGGTAAACAGAACAGGGTTTCCTTTAAGAGCCATCCTCCTTCCAGGAAGGAGAGTATACTTGATCTGGTGCATTCTGATGTTTGTGGTCCTATGAAGACTAGGACAATTGGTGGTTGCTCCTACTTTGTCACATTCATTGATGATCACTCCAGAAAGGTTTGGGTTTATACCTTGAAATCTAAAGATCAAGTATTTGAGGTGTTTAAGCAGTTTCATGCCTCGGTTGAGAGACAGACTGGAAAGAAGCTCAAATGTATTCGGACAGATAATGGAGGGGAATACATTGGCCCCTTTGATGCTTATTGTAGAGACCATGGTATTCGACATCAAAAGAGTCCTCCCAAGACACCGCAGTTGAACGGATTAGCAGAGCGGATGAACAGAACTTTGATGGAGCGTGTCAGATGTTTGTTATCACATGCAGGGCTGCCAAATTCATTCTGGGGAGAAGCTTTGAATACAGCGGTACATGTTATTAATCTAACTCCTTGTGTTCGTTTGTCTTTTGATGTGCCTGACAGGGTTTGGAGTGGCAAAGATGTTTCTTACCGTCATTTGAGGGTCTTTGGATGCAAAGCTTTTGTGCACATTCCTAAAGATGAAAGATCAAAGCTTGATGTGAAGTCCAAACCATGTGTTTTCTTGGGTTATGGCCAAGATGAGTTTGGTTACAGATTATATGATCCAGTCCACAAGAAACTTATTCGAAGCCGAGATGTTGTGTTTGTGGAAGATCAAACCTTGAAAGATGCTGAGAAGAAAGATACAGTTCCTCAACATAATGATGATGTTACTGATTTGGATCCAGTGCCTCCTCAGCATGTAGAACCATCTCTTGATAATGATGTTCAGAATGATGAACAACATGATACTGATGTTCCAGAACAGCCAGAGGTGGATGAAGAATTTCATTCAGAGATACCAGTACCAGACGTGCCACCATTTGTCCCACTTAGGCGGTCTACAAGAGATCGTCATCCTTCCACCCGTTTTTCAGCTAATGAGTATGTCTTACTCACTGATGGGGGAGAGCCTGAGTGTTATGCAGAGGCCATGGAAGATGAGCACAAAAGGGAGTGGGTTGAAGCCATGCAAGATGAGATGAATTCCTTACATGAAAATAATACATTTGAGTTGGTGAAGTTGCCTAAAGGCAAGAGAGCTTTGAAGAACAAGTGGGTCTACAAAGTGAAGACTGAAGAGCACACCTCACAACCTAGGTACAAGGCTAGATTGGTGGTCAAAGGGTTCAGTCAGAGAAAGGGTATTGATTTTGATGAGATTTTCTCTCCGGTCGTGAAGATGGGATCTATTCGTGTTGTTCTGGGTTTGGCAGCCAGCCTTGATCTTGAGGTTGAACAGATGGATGTCAAAACAGCTTTCCTTCACGGTGACTTGGATAAAGAAATCTACATGGAGCAACCTGAAGGGTTTCAGGTTAAGGGAAAAGAAGGTTATGTGTGTAGACTTCAAAAGAGTCTTTATGGGTTGAAGCAAGCACCAAGACAGTGGTACAAGAAGTTTGAGTCAGTTATGGGGGAGCAAAATTACCGAAAGACTACTTCAGACCATTGTGTTTTCTTCCAGAGGTTTGGTGATGATGATTTCATCATTTTATTGTTATATGTTGATGACATGTTAATTGTTGGCAAGAATGTAGAAAGAATTACTCAGCTGAAGATGCAATTGAGCAAGTCTTTTGCTATGAAAGACTTGGGGCCAGCAAAACAGATTCTTGGCATTCGGATCACTCGAGATAGAGCTTTGAAGAAGCTACACATGTCACAGGAGCAATACATTGAGAAGGTGCTTCGCAGATTCAACATGGACAAAGCTAAAGAGGTTAGTTCACCTCTTACTACCAACTTCAGGTTGACAGATAAAGATTGTCCATCTTCTGAGAAGAGGATTGAAGAGATGGATAGAGTTCCTTATGCCTCAGCTGTAGGGAGTTTGATGTATGCTATGGTGTGCACACGGCCTGATATTGCCCATGCAGTAGGTGTTGTTAGTCGTTTTCTGTCAAATCCAGGTAAGAAGCATTGGGAAGCAGTGAAGTGGATTCTCAGATATCTACGTGGTACTTCCAAATTGGGTATAACATTTGGAAATGGGGAGCCAGTACTTGTTGGTTATACTGATTCTGATATGGCAGGAAATAAGGACAACATGAAATCCACTTCTGGATATTTGATGACTTTTGCAGGGGGAGCTGTGTCATGGCAATCGAGACTGCAAAAGTGTGTGGTTTTATCCACCACCGAGGCTGAGTATGTGGCTGCAACAGAAGCTTGTAAGGAGCTATTATGGCTCAAAAGATTTATGCAAGAGATTGGCTTTATTCAACATCGCTATGTGGTTCTTTGTGATAATCAAAGTACCATTCACCTTGCTAAAAATTCTATGTTTCACAAACGAACCAAACATATTGATGTGAGGTATCATTGGATTAGAGATGCACTTGAAGACAAACTGTTTGAACTTGATAAAGTTCATACCGATGATAATGGTGCCGATATGTTGAAGAAGGTTCTAGCAAGGGAAAAGTTGAAGGTATGTTGCTCCATCGCCGGTATGGCGAACTCTTCCTCATAAGTCAAAAAGGGGGAGATTTGTTGGGTTTTTCTTTGTTTTTGACCCATGAGGAAAGCCCAAGTATTGAGCCCATTAAAAGTCTTCTTTGACTTTCTTTTTTGGGAGCTAATAATAAAATATGGGTTAGCTACTATCTCAACACATGAGGACAGAAAGAGAGCAGCAGAAAAGAGAGAACAAGTCACAAAACATGAGCTGAAATGCTCATCCCGTTTTTCAGCAGGCAGCAGCAGAAAAATTCCGTTTCCCGGAGATTGAACCGTTGGATCGTCGTGATTTTTGGACAGCAGCTTCACAGCATCTGGGCCAACATTCTGGACGGTGGAGATCGAGTTTTGAGGTCTGGAGGTCGGGTTTCGTTGGTCTGGACAGTAGCTATTTTTCTGGTGATATTTTTCTTATCTTGGCTCTATTTGATTCCATACACCTTGATGTGCTTACTTCCAAGGATATGATGATTTTGTATGCCTCTAGTATTATCTAGAGAAGACTTTGTACTGCTCCTTTGATGATGATAGTGGATTTAAGCGGCCAAAATGGTCCCGTGGTTTTTCCCTAGTTAACGGGTTTTCCACGCTAAAATTCCGGTGTTTGTGTGTGGTGTGTGCTTACTGTTTTAGTTGATTATATTGGTGTGTGGCAGCAATATTGTGTGTGTTCTAATTGCATTAAGAACACCCTATTTGTTTGCATCCTCAAAGGTTCATTCAAGTTGGGGAAATTTTAGTCAAACGGAGATTAATTCCGCATTTTATTAGTTACCGTTTGGGGCTGTTTTTCCCATCAAATGATTAGTCTAATTCCTTGTTCAAACTGAAATTCTTTCACCTACAATATAAACATTTTGTTTATCAAATCTATTACTCAATTACAAGTTAGTATATAGGAGTCTTGTGCTTATCATAAATTTTGTACGTAGTACTATACATGTATATATGAACCCCGTTTTAAATGTTTGTACTTGACAAGTTTATGAGAGTATGTCAACAATTCGCTAGAAAAATAACTTTCGAATACACAATTGTGAAAATATTTCAATTTATTTTATTTTATTTTTTATATCTCTAATGCCTGCACATGATGTACTATAAAATATCATTTATGTAATGTTACAGATAATAAAATAATAAGAAAAAATATGTGTTATAATTAATTCGAGAATCATACAATATGCATATGTACTCATAATTTACTAATAACAAAGTATACATATCTGATTAGTACTGTTTTAATTCCTTAATTCAAAATCTCTATATGAAATTAGTATGGAGAATCCATAAATTTTAAATTAATTTAATTTGTTTATTTTTCTTATCCTTGATGGATGCACATTCAGTAAAAATATCAACTCCGATCTATACTTTTACAGAGAATATAACAATATGAAAAAGGGAAAGTTCCCGAAATGAGACTAAAAAAGTTTGAAAATTCCAAAATAGGACTGTCATGTTTTTATTCCCAAAATAGGACTAATTACTGCCAAATTTGGAAAATACTGCCATGTTTGAAGTCTGATACTGCCAAAACATGACAGTAATTAGTCCTGTTTTGGGAATAAAAACATGGAAGTCCTATTTTGGAATTTCCAAACTTTTTTAGTCTCATATTTAATTTTTAGAATAATACAATGTGTATCTACTCATAATTTACTTATTATACTATATTTGATTAGTACTATTTCAATTCCTTAATTTGAATTTTTCAATTCATAGTTTTAAATATTTCTCCTATTTTAATCCTAAATTAAAATGTTAATTTGAAAATAAATTAGAAAAATATTTCAATTATTTTTAACCTTTATCACACCCACACCACACACACATATTTTTCGTACACCAACATGTGATCACATTTTTTCATATTATTTAATATTAAATAAATATAAAAATCAACATTGTTTTTTAATAAAATACTTTTTTCATTAAAATCAATTTAATATTGCAAGAAAAAAATTGTACCATGCATATGAATAAATATGTATGAATATAATAAAATTATTCAAATACTTTTTTTTACAAAAAGTTTTTTACATTGAAATAAGGATAATTAAGTTTAATTCTAACATATGATGCAAGGTCTTGAAAGCTAGTAAATATATACAAAGTAAATAATTATGTATATAGAAATAATACTCAATAAATGACAAAAATATACAAGGACAGTGGATAAAATGTACTACTATACCTCCGTCTCGAAAAAGTTTGTCATATTGGCTATTATTGATGAATGATGACAAACTTTGAACGATGATTTTGATTACTATATTTCTTTATAATATATAAATTTTATACTTTGATGAAAATATTTTGGATAAGGAACATTTTGATATAACTTTCATGTTCAAGATAATTTCGTATTACAAAATATATATCATTAGTCAAAATTGATTTTCATTAATCAAGAAAATTCAATTTGGCAAACATTTGCGAGAAGGATGGAGTAACAAATATGCATGTAATAAGTATGTGTACAAACAAAACAAAAATGGAAAGAATAGTAAAGTTGGTTCATACTGCCCCCATAAGATCCTCCAACAACAATGATTGATGAACTTTGAGCGCTATAATCTTGTTTTACGCGTAGCAAAACCTCTGCATAATCTGCTAAAGCTTGAGCAGAACTTAAATAACCACGAAGTTTTTTATGCTTAATAGCATGCTTCATTGATCCAAATGGAATTGATTTCCCGTAGAACCTATGCTGTTTACCAAAAAGACACAAATATGATTAACACAATATATTATGATTAGAAAACAAGGCAACATATATCTATCCATTCATGAAAAAGATTCAAGTCATTTAGCTTCTCCAAGATATATGCTACATGCATGTAGCGTGTGTTGGGATATGATGTGGCTGTTGTGTTGAGCTAGTGAGCTAGCTATGTATAATTGAGAGCATCCTATCCATTTACTACCTCCTGCGCTTCCTCTAATCAAATTTTGCTTTCACTTGACCCATGAATATAATTAAGAAAGTGAAAATGGTGTAGTCAAAGTTGTGAGAAAGAAATAATATCAACCACAAATTATTTATCATATAAGGAAATGAGAGTTTATATTGGGACAATGAAGAACTAAATAATGAACTTTATATTAAGAGTAAAGTGCATAAATAAGACTATAAGAGTATCTATCCTAATGAACTTATTTAAATATCATCACTATAGCACTTTGAGCCCTAGCTAAACGAATAAATCTATCATTTTAATTATCTTTACTCGTTGTAGTACATATTACAACGAGTCTTAAGACAATTGCATAATTTAATTTACGATTAGACAAAATGCCTTACTATTTCTACTGCATCATTTAAGCCTCAGCTCTAAACCAAAAAAATATTGGAAAAATTGATAGTAATAATCCCAACTATTGGCGGTCCGCTCATAATAATCCCAACTATTGATTATTACAGAATAATCCCAACTTTAGGGACCTTCCGCCAATAATGGTCCCTGTGAATAAATTCTTGTAGTTTCTAAAGTGGATGAGATGAGATATAACAAGTAATCCCTATAAATAATCTCAACTTTTAATTTTTACGCTTAATTTCTATTTAAAATTCACTTTTTATAGAGGTAATATATGGTCATGGACCATTATTGGCGGATAGTCTATATAGTTGGGATTATACAAAAATAATCAATAGTTGAGATTATTTTCAGCGGAGCAGCAATAGTTGGGATTATTGTTTTCAATTTTTCCAAAAATATTTACTTTAAAAAATGATCAAAATGACATATAATTACTAGGGCTGGGAAAAAACTCCCGACTCCCGATCCCGATCCCGATAATCCTGATCCCGACTAGTCGGGAATTTTTCCCAACTAGGGATTTTTTTAAAAAAAAAAGTCGGGATCGGGAAAATCCCGACATCCCGACACTATATATACATATATATATATGTATATAATTATATATGAATATATAAAAAATGAATATAAATTTATAAAAAAATGAATATGTATCTAAATATTTGCATATCTTTTTTAATTACTTATTCCTTACATAGATTAATTTTTTACTACGATATATCTTACAATATCAAATTTCTAAAACTATTCCGCATTTGTCTGAAAATGAATATTCAGGATCCTAACTAAATAGAGATTATTCTTGATCCCGACAATCTAAATCACAACAATATTATAAATTTTGCGGTTCTGATGAACTCTTTAAAATGATCGAGACTAAGATTTCTTTCTTTAGTAAATAATCATAATATGTATTTATACATTATATTCATTGGTCACAAAGTTTCTCAATGAGTCCACACATCCTTCTTTTAGTGATTTTTATAAAATGTTTGAAGTAAGTTTCACTAAGCCTTGATAGCTTATTAAAAAGTTATACGATTAATTAATTGAAGTTACAAATAAAAATTATTCTAAAAGTATGTACTAGTGTGAATTTGAGAAGATAATTATTACAATAAACTTTATAAGTAGATGATGATAAATATGGTATAACAATGAACAGAGAATAATTTTGAAACCGCTAAATATCAAAGTTAGTGTTTAACTAAAGAAATTACATAATTTTATGTTTGATAGTTCATTGTCGGTATTTAGCGGGATTAAGCGGGATTCCCGATCGGGATCCCGACTTAATCGGGATTTTAATGTCGAGATCCCGACTTAATCGGGACGGGATACGGGATCCTCTTGTAGTTTGAATCGGGATCGGGATTTTGGCAATCGGGATCGGGATCATCCCGATCCCACCCCTAATAATTACATGTAGTTAATGTCTAAGTACGTAGTACAAAGTGGTATGCATGTTTACATGACAATATATTAAACATTGCTCTCCAATATAACGGTACAGAATGACAGAGGGACTAAATTAATATGCACTACATAGATCAAGAACAAATAACACTAAAATGATATGGTGAATTGAATGATATGGTGATGATTGTTTAAGGACTATTTGTTGGAAAAATGTGTGAAAAATTGCATTAAATTGCTATTTTGGGGCAATTTTTTGAGTGGGGTCCACTTCCGATTTGGGTCGGGTCAAAGTGGTTTCGGATTATCCTTGTTAAGGGCTACAATTCGATATATGGTACGCTCAAAACGGATAACGGGTGAATGAGAAATCGTTTTTCGAAGTTTACCCGTTAGAAGGGAAAAACTGGGAAAAAGGATGGGTTTCTAGTATTAATTTCCCACACCGGAAAACCCAAGGGATTTGCTACCCTTTATAAAGGGACTCCCCCCTTATGGAGTTAAGATTCTTAAGGGTAAAGGCTCTCTCCACGCGCGCAGGGGGGGTGCAAATCAAATCCCGATTCGGAGAAGAAAAACCGCGACTTGCGAGCGCGGGCGACCTGCGGACACGAATGCCGTCCAAAAATCCATCTCTCAAGAGATACGGGTAATTTTTGTTTTCTTCCCGAAACGTATAATTTTTCCCAAGTTGACAGAATTGCTCCGGGCAGAAGGCCACGACCAGAGGTGCTCCGGTTCTGATGACCGCGCATCAGAACTGCTCCAGTTCTGATGGCCTTCGGGCAGAGATGCTCCGGTTCTGATGACCGCGCATCAGAACTGCTCCAGCTCTGATGGCCTTCGGGCAGAGCTACGTAGGGGTCTTCTGATGGCTTCTGAACCGTTACAGCAATAAATGCCCAACGTTTATATCTTTTAATGCAATGTTAAATGGACAGTTCATGGACAATTCAATGCCCAACGGACTGGTCATTGATGTCCAACGTTCAGGTCCATTAATTCACTATTTTCATACAATAAATCCTCCTATATAATGGCTGGCAGGTGGTTTGCAATAACACAACTTCGTACACACGTTCTTACACAAATCCATACACGTTTTAGCTCTAAAAACACACTGCTAGCATTCCGAAAATTTCCCCTGTGTTCATACTGTGTTCTCGTTCGCTGGAACTTTTGTTTGTGTGCTTAAACATCAGTTCGTAGTCATCGTATCCTGGGAAACGATTGTTGCAACGCTCCTAGCACCGTGGGAGGCAACAAATACGTTTTAAGGACATCGTGCGTAGCACGAGCTTTGACTAAATCTGCTTCATCTCCTTTCTTGTTTTTCTCTAGTCATTTTATTTAATTAATTTATTTTAATTAATTTTCTTTATTTTCCGAAACACACCCAACACTATTTTTATTTTTATCCTTTATATTTTATCATCAAAACAGGATCCATTTAGTGTGCATGGTCCTACAATTTAAATCATTTTCTCTTCGATTCTCTTTTTGTTTTGTTTGGATTTCTTGAACTCTATACTACTCCGTATTTAGGACGGAGGTAAGCATTCTCCCTTTGTCCGACAAAATGTGATCCAAGTGTCTAATTGTGAAAATGGATGTTGAAGTCACACACTGAATAATTACTCCCTCCGTTCCTAGCTAAAAATACTTCTCACTTTCCCTTTTGAGCCGTTCCAAAAAATACTTCTCACTTTCGCTTTTGAGTCGTTCCAAAAAATACTTCTCACTTTCTCTTTTTGGACAATTTGTGTGGCTCACATTCTTTTTACTTTTTTCTAACACAACTAAAACCATACATTTCCAGTTTCCACTTTATTCCACTTTCTTAATAAGCTTGCCGATTCAAACCGGGAAGTGTGTTTAGGAAGTAGTAATAGATAATAAAGTGATACTTTATCGGTTCTTTAATAGTTGCAACAGTTTAACTTTCACGTTTGCCAACACGCAACTTTGAACGTAATTATATCTAATTACGTATTCGTAAAATTATAAAAAGTTAATATTTTGAAAATTCACATCAATAGAAACTTAATAACATTTTATACATAATAATTTGATTTTATATATTAATAGAAAATCGTAATCAAAATAAGGTGTGTGAATAGTGCAAAAATCCTAATGCTGCAACTTTTAAGGAGGACAGGGCCAGTCCTGAGAAAATGGAGGCTCTGTGCAATAACAAAATTTGGGTCTTCCTTTCTGACATAAATATTGATCGACAAACAGATGTTCTTAAAACATAGCTGCAGCAATTATAAATTTATTAAATATAAATAGCCTAATTAACTCATCAACTAATTACATTTAATTCTAAATAACAACCAATTTTTTAAATTTCATTATTTCATCAATTCATAATACATTATTACATTAGTAGAGTAGTAGTACTACTACTAAAAATTTTATTTTGGGCCCTCGATTTTTTTGGGCCCTGTGCAGTCGCACACCCTAAACTCCCTCTGGGCCGGGCCCGAAGGAGGAAGTATATTATGATCTTAGCTTAAGTAGCGAGGTAGGTTTAGGGGCGGGCAAAAGACAATCATGATATAATAACCAAGCGTACTACGTGCGTACGTTGCGCACTCACCTCAATGTAGACAAGAAGAGCCTTGAAACGAGGGGCATTATCGGTAAGAAATCCGATAATTGGAAGATCCTCATCGACTGGAGCTTCATCGCCGAGCCATGCAAAGATGGGCCCACCAGGAGCCCAGTGCTGGGAGTTGACTATGTACCTCTGGTCAAAGGTGTCATAGCTCTGAGGTGCATAATTGAAGTGATCCAACGTTTGCTTGTAGTAAAAGGTCTTGAAATGGGGAGGAAGGGACGTCGTCTCTTCCGCCGCGTTTGGGGCGGAGCGTTGCCGCCGTTGGATGGAGTTGTGAAATGGAGTGAGCCTGGGGATTTTGTGTGGCTGCAGCCGCAGCGGTTGAGATGAAAGGCATAGTTTTGAGAAAAGTACTGGAAGAACAAAAAGCAGTACAAAATGGAGAAGAATCTTCATCTTAATCGCAATATTGCAGGAAAAATATATTACTTCCCTCAAAATGAATTAGTCAATATGTATATATACACAAATTAAATGGCTCGATATGATACAACCTTTGACCAAGACATCTCCCGATCTCCTGATTACTTTTATAAATTAAAGCTTAAAGTTGCAATAATATTTAGGATTATATTAGACCTCAAATTAGGAAACATTAGAACGACTTTTCAGCCACTATGACCTGAAATTAACATTTTTGAATTGTGGTTGAGCCAATTTAGTCTTGGTCAATCTACTAACTTTAGATAAGCTCTTAATTAAATGGAGTTAAAAGTAATCGAAGTAAATACGATAGTATGTATGTATTTTAAGCATGGTTTATATTTGATCTCTTATCTTTGTATAAGAAAATTTAAGAAAATTTACTTGCAAAGTTTGGCACTGTTTGACACTGTTTTGCTCTATTTTGTTGTAAATTTGTTCATAATAAGTGCTTGGTAAAATAAGTGTTTTTTGTCTAATAGAAAAAATAAAAATCAGATTCTAGCTTTTAGCTTTCAAGTGTTAATTTAAGTAGAAGTTATCACTTGAAAACACTCTTTCTAGCTTTTTTAAACCAAAAGTTGGGAAGCACTTTTTTTAATGTTTGGAAGGAAAAAAGGCACCTATTGTATTTCATGGGGTTTTAAAAAAGTCGTCGAATGTGCCTATATAATAGGCATCTTATTAATGCAAATGAGTAATATATAATGGCGGGTTTTTTTCAATAATATTATCAAAGTAATAGTTATTTACAGAAATATGACTATTAGGTTACTACAATAATGTATAATCATAGTAAATAGTAACTTATGTTTAAAAATTGAACGTAAGTTATTTTGATTCTATTACTACTCTAGTCATTAGTCACATTTTTGTAATTATTTCAAAAAATATTTGAACGACTAAGTCATTGTCTTGGTTACATTTATTAGGTCAAAAGTAAAAAAATTATATACTTATTGTCAAATGTTATCCATTTCTTATGCTATTTTTTTCTTAAGGAAGTTAGGAAATAGAGATAGAACTATGTTTACGTCAATAGTCAATGATGACTCTCTTAGATTGTCTCATTTTACATTTTCGGTCTGCTCCACTAATAGTGTCCTATATAAAATTTTGATAAAATTTGTGTGATTCATAATCATTATTCTTACTTTATTCTTACTTTATCAATTCAAGATCAATCATATAAATTATTTTTTATTGATTTGTGTGTCTCTTCCTTTTGTTCCATTGTTAGTGGAATGGAGGGAGTAATTAACTAATATAAAACAATGGGTATTGTATAATTTTGGAAAAACCTTGATTATGAGGAAATTATAATATACGGCCCATCATACTTGTAAAAGAAACTTAAAAGTAATTTTCATAAATAGTAATATGACATGGTCTCATTTCGTAAATAGGAGTCCATGTTATATATTCCCTAAGATATAGGAATAATAAAACATCACCTTTAATTTCCACCCCTAACATAATAGTACACTTCGTATCAGGGGCGGATCCAGGAATGAGGGGTGGGGTGGGCTAAGCAGTAAAAATTTTCGTTATTGCATACAAAAGGTTTAGCTTAGGATTGATAGTTATTGAACTGAGTTTTTTTTCGAACTACTCGAGTTCGATCATGATTTCGAATTTAATTTACTGACCAAAGCTTAACGAGCTTCAATCTCGAACACGGATTAAATTTTAGTTTAAATAGTTTGTTTTTACAACAAAAAAACGGCCGTTATTTTTTTGAGTTTGAATAGTTATTCAAGCTGAATTCGAGCATAGTCATGTTCAGTTCGATCTGGACTCGAGCATATTCATAACTTATAAATTATATAAATAAACTATATACTACCTCCGACTTTTATTAAGACTAATTTGACTTTTCAAGTCAAAGAAGTTAAACTTTGAATGAATATATATTTATACAATAAAATTGATAATGTGAAAATGAAATGGAAATGTTCTTTGTTAAAAAGTTTATCATAAAAGTATAAATTTAGTAAGTTTCACATTAATACATGAGTTAAAATGATGGATCAAAGTTTACCATCTTTGAGTAAAGAGTCAAAGATGGCTAAATAAAATGAGACAGAGGTAGCATATCTAAAATTTAAATGTTTTTAGTGTGATTTATAATTTTATTATTGATTATTAAAGATTTTAGTATTTATTGATATGAATTAAAATACTTCTATAAAAGTATAAAACTAATAAGTAAAAATAGTCGATGTACATAAAACTAATAAGTATTCCCAATTTTAAAATTGAATTGAGATTTTGAATCCATTCTTACATGCCTAAACAGTAAATACATCGTTCTCTATTCTTTAATTGCATTATAAATAAATCATTTCCTAATCTTTAATTCTATCTTTAATCATTATAAATTTATAATAATAAATAAAAACTATTTTACTATCTACTGAAAAAATTCAATTAATAATCAAATAGAATTACAAAGTTGGTAGGCTTGGGCTGGGCTAGACATTAGTTTTGAGGTGGGCTGGAAATTAAATCTATACCTATAATAATAAAAATAAATTGGGCTGGGCTGGGCTGGAGCCCACCCCTGCCCCAACATAGATCCACCCATGCTTCGTATGGAGTAATATAGTTAATTCCCCTCTAAACTCTGAATAATCAAAGCATTTCATTGGTGGCAGAAGAGTTGGCGGCGACAAGTAATCCGCTGGCATAGTTCCAAAGAAGGCGGAGGTGCCTACCAAAGGCAATGTTCATGCAGTCTGGCAGCATCGGTGAGTCGGTGACTGGAGGCAAAGTTCCGGTAGTCCGACGCTAACAACAGTTTGATGGCGAGCCCAACCAGTGGAGGAGTGTTTCAAGTACAAAAAGGATTCTTACTCAGATAATTTCAAACATTAATTTCTAGTTTTGCATCTTAACATATTTTAATTTCAATCAATTGATGCATGCACAATTAAAAAAATTACACATTATAATCCTAAGCATTACAGTTAGTATCATAGTATGTTAAGAGTTATTTGCCTAAGAGTTAGTTTAATTTTTCTGTTGGAATGGTCCTTTTCTATATTATAATGATATTGTATAGTTTCTATCTTTTCAATAAATTGCTCTTTATTCCAGAGTGTGTTTTGCTATTAAAATATTCTTCACACTGACATTCAAGAGGGTAGTATTTGTTTGACAGTTTAAGAATAGTTGCGTACAACTTTTTTCATACAACAAAGACGTTGGAGCTTTAATTTGCAAAGAGTACTTTCTGAACTATATTTTTATAGATTCTTGGAATATTGTGAATGTCAATTTCAGGTCATTTAGTTTAAGTGTTATGATAACTCCATTAACCCAGATCTGTACCTACCTCTATACTAATCGAAAATGGGTGCAACTACATGAACCATTTTAGGTACTTTTGCATTTTCATTGCATTCTCTTTGGTCAACTCTTATTTCAAACTTTCATTTTTGTTAATTTTTATTCCATGCTTTCTTTGATTTACATGGGGAAGAATAACACTCATGAGTTATTTCTTGTAGTGTCAATCCAATGCAGTTAGAAAAACTACACATGATGATCATCTAAAGGTGGTGTGTGAACTCCCAACATACTATGCTCTATGGTTATTGTCACGCCCCGAACCTCCCCGGACACGTCAACAACCCGCCATACAATACGAATAGTCAACCGCAGTCCAACACATTCGTATTATACAAGGCGTCTTGAATATCATTCACACATATAACATCCATAAACATACATAATAAGTAATTTAATACGTAGCGGAAAACATAGTTGAAATCAAATGCCACACGGGGCAAACATGAGTACGCAAGCTCTAAAGTAAAATATCCATGAGCAAATTTATTAGTGTTCAAATCAGAATAGAGGAAGCATGAACCAAGTCTTCTCTCCGGGGAATCTCTCAATCAACGAGCACAGGAAGTAAGCTCTAGCCTCAACCTGAAATGGTGGGGGGACGCCCCCGAAGGGGTCAGTACTCTATAGGGCTATAAAGTACTGGTGTGGATGACATCTAAGGGATATACAACAAGTATTTCAAACAAAAGACCCTCAAATAGGGTGATAGTACGATATGACTGTAACCTCAAGTTACCCCATTTAAAAATATACTTACTTTATATAAAAGTCAAGTAGTCGGCCCGTAGACCCATATTTATTTAGAAATCACCATTTCCCATTTCCCGTGATTACTACTCACGACAACTCATAGAGTACATCACATTACCGTTGCATAGCAAGGGCACGGCCCAACTACATTTCTATGCAATCCTTTATGTCAAGTACATTCTATCACATTTGCATAGCAAGGGCTCGGCCCAACTACATTTCTATGCAAATCACAATTTACATCCTATCACATTTGCATAGCAAGGGCTCGGCCCAACTACATTTCTATGCAAATCACAATTTACATCCTATCACATTTGCATAGCAAGGGCTCGACCCAACTACATTTCTATGCAAATCACAATTTACATCCTATCACATTTGCATAGCAAGGGCTCGGCCCAACTACATTTCTATGCAAATCACAATTTACATGGCAAGGTCTCGGACCAACTACATTTCCATGCAAATCACAATTACATCCTATCACATTTGCATAGCAAGGGCTCGGCCCAACTACATTTCTATGCAAATCACAATTTACATGGCAAGGTCTCGGACCAACTACATTTCCATGCAAATCATAGAGTCCGGCTCTAATTCCTCATTATAGTCCAATTCCTAAGCAACCCTATGCCTAGAATTGACATCTCAATAATCTACCTTGGGTCATTCTTAATGACTGCCCATAACTTACCCTTAGCTTCATAGTAAGTCATTCTATACACTTGAGGTACCTTCAAGTGCATTTCATACAATCCAATACTTAGGATCAATTCTATCAACAACTTCAAATAATCACTAACTAGTATTTCAATACTATTAAGATTATTGTCATCATACGAATATCCTCATTTTGTAATTCTCTACATATTTATAAGTATGTAGCAGCAACT